GGGGGCTGACAGGACAGAGGGGGCTGACAGGGCAGAGGGGGGCTGACAGGGCAGAGGGGGCAGACAGCAGCTACAGGGATTATAACAAAAATCAGGGGGGAAAAAATGTCAGCAAGGTCCATTTCAATTGCGCTGTTATTTGTCATGACATATTGCTTTTCCTGTCATATCAGTGATGTCACAGGGCTAAACACTACCTAAATCATGGTATAACTATGCCTCATACATATTCAGGTTAGACAGCCGAATTCTCAATGGACCATCCATTACTCTGCGCCACCTACTATTTCTGCTGCATGACGCACTTGAAAGCTTTTAAGCATGAAGTAAGTATGCGCACGTGAACAAGTTTGTCAACTTCCGGTACCATGGGGAGCTAGTATCAACTCTCCAGCCTCAAACCAAGGTATATTTGTATGTCAACGGCACTGAGGGCAACATTTTAGCAAGGCAGCATGTATTGTTCAGCTGGATGATCTGCTCTGCCGAGCCACACGTACAGAACACAGGAGAGAGGTTGAAGTGCCGCAGCTAAGTGCATCTCTCAAGAATAAACTCCAAGTCAGCTATGATGCCCACCTTTGCCAAAAGCCCGAGCGCTCTGGGCCAGTTGTACGAGCTTAGGATGAACCTTCTGGTTGGCCTCCTGAAGGACCTGGATGAGCTCGCTGGCCTGCTTGGCGTTGTTGGACGTGAAGAACGTGTAGGCGGTACCGGTGTTCTCACTGCGCGCCGTTCGCCCTATGCGGTGCACGTAGTCCTCCGAGGAGTTGGGATAGTCATAATTTATGACAAACTTGATGTCGTGCACATCTGTGGATCATTTTTTTTTTATTGTGAGAGAAATCAAACGATACAAAAATCAGCCAAGTGGCCGCAAATTACACGCGCAACAGATGGACGTAGAGAAAAGCACGCTGCATCATTAAAAGAATAAACACTCCGAAGACATGCAGGTTTAAATGCAGTGCACAATACATGAAACATAAACTCAAAGGCCAAAGGCCAGAATATAGTCTCGATACTGTGAACCAGGCAAGCCAGTTTGTAGAGACCCTTAAATTTACTCTAGTCATGATGCACACTCCCTAAACATGTGCAGTGTGTACTTACATTCCCACCGTTGACAGTTGACAATGTAGCACGAATTAATGCACACCGGGTGTCACAAGAGCAATATATCCAGGAGGAGGGTACTCCATGCTTAGCTTGTCTTGTGACACCGCGTCAAGAGGAATCCCGTGGAAGGAGCCTCCTCCAATAAAAAGGGAGCATGCATCAGCCGTTTATACAGGTGACCGAGATTCTGCCTGACCACCAACACTTGCCTAACTCTTTTGCGTGTTCGACAGGCGCTGCGCTTTTAAGAGCAGCGCCCGGGGAGAAGCGAACTGGCCCCCGCGTCGGCAAAAAGCGACAGACGGACGGCCGACTTCGTGAGCCAAAAGATTTTCAAACTGCAAGCCGCAGTTCCGTCTGCTCATTGCTCGGAGTGAAACGTTTCAAATTAAAAGTGGTGTCTGCGGTGGTGTCTCACTCCGAGGGTTCTCACATTCTCTGAACTCGTTTGTCAGTCGAGAAATGTCAAGACAAATGTTAGTGTTATCAGCTGAGTCACCAGGGGTCACCCGGGGCCAGCGTTGCATTTTTGGGGTTTTTAAGGTGATGCAGTACTGACGGCAGGCAATTCCCAGCATGACATCCAATCAATCACTATCGCGGGAGAGATGAAGGCTTTCATTTGCTGGTCCAAGTCCTGGTGCGCCGCTATCTCAGCAGAGGCTATCAACAGGAGCTCCCAAGTCGGACGAAAGGGCTTTACTATAAAGGATTGGGGTTGCGCGATATTCTGCTTTGGACCTTACTACTCAGCCCACACTTAACAATGATTCTGTAAGTGTAAACACAAACAAATAGTTTGTCACTGAACGAAGCTGTTATCAGGAGCAAGAGTCGTTTCAAGTCATACCTCAGCCAAATTTTGCGCCCAGTCCAAGGCCTTGAAGAATAAATAACAGCCATGTTCTGGTAATATTCAAAGTGGGACTGTATTTTAAGATTTGAGAGGAGGACTAATGATCGTTCCAAAAGCCCCTTTCACTTGGAAAAAAAGCCTCTCCCCCGCTTCAGTTAACGACGTGTCATGCCTTGGGTCCTGCCAACGACTTCATCTACATAAAAGAACAAAGAGATCTCACAGATAATTTTTACAAAGATAAGCGGTCAACAATTGGGGAAAATCTAATTAACCGTGGCATATTCAGCCCAACATAAAAAGTTGACGTACAGTTTTATACAAAATTAATAAGTGCTTGAACACTGTCAAATCAACCTGCATTTTTTGATCAATTCACAGTTCAGTTTGTCATCACATCGGGTTTAGTCCCCAAAACCAAATATTCTGCTTGCATTGGCTGTTTGCTCATTTTGATCTTGAAGCCAAATCAACATGTTCATGCCAAAGGCAAGCGCATGACCTCTAAACTGGATGTATAAACATGTGATGATTTCCAGAGACAGTTTCACAGAGGACGTGACATTCAACAGAGCAGGTAACGAGTTAAAAAAAACTGTCAAATTTCCCTGGGGAAGTCCCCGGGACTTGACCAAGCGCTGAACTTGGAAGTGATGACCGTACACAGCATGTTGTGGTAGCAGATATCACTTTCTGTCGGGGTCAATCAGTATCGGCAATGGTCACATTCAGCTTTCTCCTCTTTTGTCCACTCCATAATTTCAATTAAGACGCGTCTTCACTTGACACAAATAACAGACAACCCAGGGGGGGGGGTGTTTTTTTAACACTGTCAGCTTCTCCGAAAACCAGGTTTTAACATCTGCTTTCACAATGTTACAAAACCAAGTTTCAAGACACTTCACGATTTACTTGTGCTGCTGGAAGAGACCAAACCTGGACACTCAAGGGCTGTTAGCCCATGACAAGCGCATCCACTCAAAGAACAGTATTCATTTAGCATGATGTTCAGTTAAATTGACGTCAAGGATGAGCTGGGTATAGTGCAAAGAGCAAAGACCAAGCAGGTGGGCTCAATCTAACACAAGCAGTCCATGTGTCTTCAAACCCTATACTGTACACAGGAGCGGTTTAGAAGAGCGCGTAGTTTGTGGGAATTAGTTTTTGACTGGTATCTGCACAGCATCTGCAGGCGCATCCGCGTACAATCCCACAACATGCCTTTCTCCGCACACCTGACTGGAACCTTTCACTTTCTCAAATACAACACTTGTCACTTGTTTCCAGACATTTGCCGTTTCCACGTGGGATAAGGTCTCAACAGATGTTTCAACTGTTTTTGTGAATCAGCTGCTCGGTACAGGAATACTGAAAGGAAACTGGTGATCATGACAATCAAATAAACAATCGCAGTACTTCTCAAAAAAACTATAAAAAAAAATTAAAAATCCATCTCATCTCCTATTCCACAGTCACATAAAAACACTTAGGGTTCAGCAAAAAAAGTGCTGTCTGTAAAGACACTGTGAAATGACATTTTCAACCTCAAAATTTGTGAGCCAGTTTTGTCAGAGAATGGGACTCTGAAGTAGACCTGGCCCGGCTCTTTCCATCATTCGAGGCTCTCACTTGACAAAAGGTACTACCATCACTTACCGAGTCCTCTTGAGGCAACGTCTGTGGCCACCAGGATAGGTGCCTTCCCCGAACGAAATTCTGGTTTTGAGAGGGTTGAGAAATGGTGAGTCGAAGTTACTAACATTCAGTGAGATGTAACAACCAAGAACACACCTGAAGTCTAGAATTTGGTTTGGTTCGTCCATCCTATAATTGAGGGACTACATTGCATTGTCTTGCCATCATCTGAACTCCGAAATGATCAGGGATGGAGGTCGACTCTGATGCTCTATGTCTCTTTGGAAGGTTTCGTTCATAAACAAACTAGACTACAAACAACTCGTGGGGATTACAAAAAAATCCAGTTCAAGCGGCACGATGTGATGGAGATAATAAAGGTACTATCAGGCAGAAGCTTACCATTCAATACCCAGTCTCGCTCAGGCTGAGATTTGTCACCGTGTATACACATCGCCGGCCACCTGCGATCAGAACCCAGTTTGGATTGCAGTTACCACAAAATACAGTTCCTAGCTGCCAACCTGCCCATATTTCTCTCAACCACTGCACACGTGACATGGTTTTTTGGGGGGAGGGGTTTCCATGATTGTATCATCTCAACTTGCCAAAATACATGCACGTGGACCGTAGCAGGCTGGAAATGGATCTTCTGTGTTCAAGAATGGGAATTAAACTGGGATAGAGTAAAGAGAGGGCTTGCCGTAACACCGTGTGGATAGATCTCTTTTGGAAGAGGTTTGGTTCTGATTAAACACCGTTGCGTGTGTACTCGACTTTTCGACCAGTGTGCCCTGGTACTCTTCAGGAGTGGAGTAAGCAGTTGAATGGAAGAGTTTTAAACTGGTGGCGATTACGTTCCACATCATGGTGTGAACAAGTACAAACGACATATTTGCCCAGAGAGACACATTTGCCACGAGAAGGAACCACATCTCGTCCATGCAGAGTCTGTAAGGTCTGTGGGACACCAACGGAACACGCAACAACATTTTTACATGATGCCTACCCATCCTTGCGCATTTTCCTGGTCAGCTCATCCGTTCTCCGTTTTGTCTCGGCGAATATCAGCGTCTTGTTCTCCTTCTCTCCCATGATCTGCTCCAGCAGTTTGATCAATCTGGGACAAACGACCCAAAACAACAGGATCAGTACATCTCAGGAAGGAGTCTCAGTATTACTTGATAACTTCAATGTTACTACTCATGTGCTTCTTGACAGTGTGCACAATCACTACCTATTCTAAAAATACAAATCAGGAAGAGTGACCTTTCAAGCTGGCCATCAATGGCGCGGTCACTAGGCCTACGAAATCTGCCATCGCTGCCAACAGACATATTCAAACGTGCACAGAAAACTTGCACCAGTTTTTCAGACTCGTCCAATGATAAAATATTCCACTGTGTCTGCTCACATGGGCCACTTCATCCAAAGCGGTACTAATTCTGATATCTTGCCAAATTATTCCCTCACAATTATGTACATAACACAGTAAACCCATTACATGGTTAAGGACCGTAAATGTGCGAGTTAAGAATACCACTTCTGACCACCAGGACTTTCACCTGTCCACAAGATGTCCCCTGCAAATCTATACTTTCAAGCGCTGATGACTAGGTGGTGAACCGTACAATTTTATGAAGGCTAGGAGCCATGCAATGGGACTGACGATGGTGCCCATCAGGATTTATGATCTAATTGGAAGGCAAAACAGTAAAATATCAATGCGCCACAGAGGCAAAACTTACTTTTCGTCTTTCTGAAAGTCGTCGCAGACATCAATGATCTGCAAGATGTTGTGGTTGGCCGAGAGGGAGAGAGACCCGATATTGACAGTGATGTAGTCTCGCAAGAAATCCTCCGCCAGAGAGCACACTTCTTTTGGCCACGTGGCACTCCACATCAGAACTTGTCTGTCGGGCTATCAAAATATAACACCGGGTCGGAATAATGGATTAAAAATGGCTAAAATATTATTTTTCTCTCAAGACGTAATACGTAAAATACTCCCAAAATGAGTTGATTATACACTGCAATGCCAAGGCCAAGTTTGTAAGCATTTTTTCTTACTTTACGAAATGACAACATTCGCAATCATAATTATGTCACATGCTCAAGCAAAATGCGCTATTTTGCTGGCGATTTTTAACTAGCAGTACATCTTTATACACATAATCTGAAATCTCAATAGTGCACATACAGGGAACTGATGTGAAGACAGTTTTTCATTCCGACAGCGTTGCAATCAATTTGGAACCCGCTGGCATCCCAAAGTAGAATACCTACCCGTATCTGTTCCATGATCTTCCTGATTTGGGGCTCAAACCCCATATCCAACATGCGGTCAGCCTCGTCCAAGACGGCATAGGTGCATCGGGCCAAATTGGTTTTGCCGCCTTCTAGGAAGTCGATGAGACGCCCCGGAGTTGCAATGACAATCTCGCTTCCTGTACACAAAAGGAACCGTTCTGTGATCGTCTGGCTTAAAAAAGTGGGATGAGATACTTGACTCTGAACAAGAATAATAGATACACAAATCCTTTTCTCGCAGTTTGATATCCTGAAACTTGGTTGGCCTGTGTACATTAGCATAATGTGCGAAGGGTGTTGTTACTCTTTGCTATGCAACAGGGCTGCATGTTACCCGGGCCAATGTGATGTGATGCGACCGCATTAATCAGTCCTTCAAAGATCAATGGAAACAGGGCACAAGGCAAAGCACTCGGCTACGCCAGTCAGTGCGTTATGCCATACTGCCAGCTGGTCGGGCAATCTGGGCTGGCCCGGTATGGCATCCGTTTCGTTACGCCGCAGTTTATCATGCAACTGCATGGTTTGTGAACTATCAATCATAAACAGTTTCAACCCTCACCCCTTAGTATCTTTTACTGGGCACTGGACCAAATCCATCACTCCCAGTGCCATCAACATTGCTTGCGGCAAGTCCACCACTGACGTGACGGTCTTGGTCGGTGGATCCATTACAAATGGCTTACAAGATGTCATAAGTAATGTGGCAGTGACAAAATGCACTGAACAGCCCAAGAAATGCTTCAGGCCTCTGGAATCAAGTCCATCATACTCCAGCGCTTGGTCTCGCCAGCCATTCCGGACCAAGTCTCTCAATATCCTCCAAAATAGGAAGCGATGGATTGATTTTGATGGAGTTAACGTGGTCGGGGGGAAGACGAGTGGAGGTTCTTACCCCTTTCTAGATCTCGTAGCTGGGGTCCTTTGGATGCACCTCCGTACACACATGTGCTCTTGATTTTGGAGGATCTACCAAACTGAAAGGCGACACTCTGTACCTGCTGGGCAAGTTCTCGAGTTGGAGCTAGAACTAGACACTAGAAAGAAAAAAACAAAATAACAATTGTTGTTACTAAACAGAGTCACAAAGTCCAAAATGTGACAGTCCAAATCAGAACCTATTTCTAAAGATTCCTGTTTTATGAATAGTAAAAAAACTGTAATCAATTCCAATTAGGGGGTGGGGACAGTGGCAGGAAAATTCCCTTTGGAATATTTCCATGTTGGATTTTGAAGTGATTCAACACTGATTTTTGTGAGAGACACTTCAGACGAAATCACGTCATGGTGTGAGCGTTGATCTACATACATGATCAGCTCAGTGACCTGAAGTGCTTGAAGGTTCTTGTTTAAATGCCACAGTTTACGCGTAACAGGCTTGAGCACCATAACTACATGCAGTACATGAACCTGGCATCCACGCCAAGAAATCACAGATTTATGCACATACAAATAAAAGTGGGTATGCTTCCTGCATGAACCAGTGACAAGCCAGTCTATGCATGTACCAAGTTTCACACTGACTCTTGAGAAGGGTGGAGTATAAAATTGCGCAAAATTCAGATTATAGACCAGAAAACTATCAACTCCAGCCCCTTCAAGCCGATCAAAGTTGAGGAATCATTCCCTTAACTGAAACAATGCACCAGCAAAACGAGTCCGTTAACCCTAACCCTACATAATACTACAAATTACTACTTGAAGTAAAATGTAGTACTGAGCGCTGTCGCTTGTAAGAGGACATGACTTTATTGTTCTGTGAAGCCATAAGATACAATAGATAAGACAATGTACCATACAGTGCTGTGGCACTATGAATGCATGGCTTTATTGTTCTCCGTACAAGTAACAATGGAAGTAACCTAGCCAGAAGTAGTAATCTGTAGCGCTAGGTCCTTCAGGCTCAGGCTATTACTTAGTATTTTGTAGTACTGTGTAGTGTAAGCCAAACAATATGCTTGGCAGTTAGGGTTAAAGAACAAAAGCTACTTACAATAGGGCCGTCTCCTCTTTCCAGGAATGGCTGATGGTTGATGTGTACAATAGCCGGCAGTATATATGATAGCGTTTTGCCGGAGCCTGTCTGGGCGATGCCCACCATGTCCCTGCCACTCATGGCCAACGGCCAACCTTGAGCCTGGATGGCAGTGGGCTCAGTGAAGCCAGCTTTATGAAGTTCGTTCATTACGTAATCTGATAGCAGATGAAAAACAAACAAACAAACCAATGCTACATGGAAACTACAGCTCTGGGCGTCAATTACTTGACTCCATCTCAGACATGTCCTCCAGCCGTTCTGGGCAAATTTTGAGGCTTTTGCAGCATAATGCCACGACTCAACAGTCTCCTGATGAATGGTACAGCTTAATTATTAACATGCGGTACTACTTGTGCATTTTCAACATATAAATCACATCGGGCTATTACCACGTCAATGTATCAGTGATACGAGAAGGGAAAATGACCGGACAGCTCATTATCAGCAGCACGCGCGACAAGCAGCCTACCGGTTTCTATCATGGACACCTTTAGGGCAAATGGGAACAAATTCGTACCTGGAAAGCAGGCCTCGTGGAATTTGAAGACGGGTCTGGGGCAATTCCGTCCCTTCGTCGTTATGCTCCGCTCCCTCATGAAATGGTCTACCTCTACCTGTGCAGAAAAAAACACCAAGTAAAACAAACTCCTGATCTCATTCACATCTCAGGCAAACCTTTGCCCAATCACTCTGAAGTCGGCAGAGGAATTCTTGGTTGTTGCCACAACTTGAACCAATGCCAGGCGAGGCCTCTGAACTCCTGCTCAAACACAACACTATTCTGCTTTGCACCAAAAAATATTCCCTGACTCTCCTGGTGGGCACAATCAGTCGATTTGAACAGTTGGGTAATTTTGAGCACGATCCCTTACACTTATTGTACGATCTGCCGATAATTTCACCTGAAACAACTATCTTTATTTTCTAATTCACAGTTGTGGAAGACTGTGCCAAAAATTTTAAGTATAGTTGGAGATTCCACATGGGATCAACTGACAGCGTAACGCCTTTGCACAATCGTGCTGGTCAACCAAACACGTTAAACACTCCCCCCCCCTCAAACTTTGGGTCCTGCCCAGCAACGGGTAGCTCGGTATGCTAGACTGTGTTTATCACATGCAATTAGTGTTGGCAATACTGACTTTTATCAGTCAATTTCCTCCAGTAATGCTACCAAGATCAAGAAATTGTCCACAATCTGTGCATGATTATGGATCTGTAGAAAAGCTTTCTATCAATTGCTAATTAAAACGGATCAGTTGTTTCGTTGCAGAAACAGGGTTTGGATATTTTTCTAATGCATCCACCTTGGAGTTGCGCAGGTATGAAGAAAAAGCATGATTATCATCATAAATGGCTCTCTCAATTCTAAATTCAACCCTTAGGGACACACGACTCTCGTAAAAGATTGAGTATCTACATGTAATTGGGGATACACACATCCACTGTTTAACGTTCCGTATTCAGATACGACAAGAGCAATAGAGGTTGTGTGCATACATTGCTAGAACACATGTAAACATGTACATGTTACACACAGCCAAGCTGGCGTCTGGGCACACGCGTACTGCTCTGGAAAATTTCAAGCAGGTGTCATCATATAAGATAATGGAAAAAGCAAAATTTAACTTATTTCCTCTTAAGCCATAACTGAGATTAAGCCCTAAGTTTTCAACACCTGAAAAACTTGCCAACATGAAGAGATGGCACTCAAATCCTGATGTTTTTTCAAAAAAGTAGGCAAATCCAATTTTGCTTGGGACGGTATCGTATTGTGGCGATAAAAATCACCATATTGTCTACTACCGTGTACAACCTACCGGAGATCTGTTGGTGACATCGGGATGCTCCTTGTAGAAGTTCTTCTCAAAGGGAGCAAGTTTTGAAGGGTCCCATCTAGGCTTCCTTAGTCTGTCCCCTGGCTGTCCGAACTTCTCCCTCAATCCTCCGCCGCCTCCCATTCCACCTCCTCCTCCTCTGGCTCCGCCACGCCCACCAAATCGTGGTGGTCCTCCGCCACCTCCAAAACTGCCACTGCCTCCACGAAACCTACAATTGTAATGAAGGAAAAAACAGCATTTTATCCATTTCCTGTGGCAGCATTTTTGTTCATCCTTTGCGACAACTCAACTATTTTTCCACAGTCATCCACTCAGACAAATCAATCAGGCAAGTCATCAGTCGTACTTCTTCCTTCATGATGATTTCCATTTCTTTTCTGATCCTTTATTTTCCATTTTTTCCCATGACATGGCCCCGTCATCCCTCCCCATCGCCACGGCTACCCATGCACTGAATTAGAGATGTCTGACTTTATGTCTGTACCGATGGTCATAAAACAAAGCCTTACACTACAAAGGAAAAAAGGTAAACCCAACCCACCTCAATCCTCCAAAATCCTCTAGGTGGTTTTGGAGGATTGAGGACGAATGGTGATTGAAGCATGAAGGACATTGCCTCGTAAATTTTGTTGATTTTTTTTTATTTCCATGATTTTCGACAAACTGTTCAAAAACGTTGAAGTGCAAATTGGAAATTGGACAAAATTTCTTTTCCAGGAAGTTTCTGAGACCACGTTTTGTACAACAAGGAGCTTGCATTTAACCATTTAAACAGAACTTGTCTGAGAATGTAGAACTGAAGAACAGCACAAAGGAGGTAGAATTTTATTTCAGTGATCTGGAAGTTGGCCTAGGAAAAATCCGGAATTATGTCGCTAGGTCAGCTGCAGGAGTTGATCAGCGCCGGTGCAAGATCGATAGATCGTGCAAAGATCGACTTACTGCCATTTTTAAAATACATGTACATCAGAAATTAGGCATGTATTGCACGAAATTCCCTCCCATCATTTAAACATGGTATTTCACATAACACGGTCGTCTCAGCAGACAACTTGGCTGAGCAGACAACTTGTCAGTCAAGTGGTCTCAATGGTATAGTTGTCCTAAGTCTAGTTGGCAAACAGTCAAGTTGTCCAGACCCCATGGTTCAACATGTTCAATATTAGGCCTAGGGGGTGTCGGTCACTTCGCCGGTTTTCACCCCACTTCCACTTTGCCCAATTTCAACTTTGTCCCATTTCAACCCCAATCCCCTAGACCTTTTTACCAGGAACCATCCTCAATCCTCCAAAGTCCTCTAAAATCCTCCTATTTTCAACATGAAAAAATTGCATGCAGCCTCAATCCTCCAAAATCCTCCAAAATTTCTTGAAAATGTTTTTTGGAGGCCTGCCTGCTGCCTCAATCCTTCAAAATACTCCAGCAATTCCTGTCATTATGTTGAGGCAGTGCGAAGGGCATTCTTGAGCAGTGCCGTTGATTCAAAGGAAATATCGGGCTGAATTTGTGCTTGACTAAGCAAAAACAATACAAGGCCTAATCCACGACCTTCACGCATGGCATCCTTCATAATCAGCCATGCACTTTTGCCATTCACCCTCAATCCTCCAAAATCCTCCAAAACCGCCCGAAGGATCTTGGAGGATTGAGGAGGGTTAGGGTTAATTAACAGAGTTCCTTCTTATGTTTTAGTTTCAAATGAGGCACGTGCAACAAACAAAAACATCAATGTTCAGGGTACCCAAACAAGTCAGAAGTTCCGATTCAAACAAAGTGCTAAGGCAAACTTGACCTACTTTGGACCGTGGGTTGCCTGTGATGTATTTATTGCGTCTCTCCGTATAGTTCAGATTTAAATAATTGTCAGAGGCAAAGCAGAGATCATGCAACTTTCGCTCTTTGTTCTTCTTACAACAGTAATTCAAATACCCAAATGTCCCAACAAAAGTATTAAAGAGAACTTAGAGAAGGAGACGACATGGGGAAATGTCCATTTTTGTTTCATTCATCAAGTCCAACCTTGCTTCAGCAAGGGTACCCCGGAATGAGTTGTGTAACTTATCAAGATTTGCAGCTTCACGTAAAACAGGCCCATGTGGTTTTTTTAGACGCCACTTTCATCCATCAGACCAAAATTGAAATGGATGTAAAAGGCTGTTGATAATGCCAATCAATATGCAACCGCTTCACTGACTTCCAGTTCCTGCTCCAAGGCTGGCTTGGGAGGATACGGACGACTAGGAAACATCCCATCTGCATACTTAGTAATGAGACGCCGAATTCATTATGAACCTATTCACAACTGGCTTGTGAGTATGATGTCAAAGACCTGTCAGGCATGGCCTAAAATGGGGGGGGGTTGCATCTTTCACATTCTCTCAATAGATAACCTAATGTACTGGATGATCACGACGGCAACAATAACGACATGAATATTGTACAGAAATGAGTATCGCTTTGAACGAGAGATTGAGAAACAAACCCAATACAAGTCCAACCACGCATATTAATTCACCGTGGACAACATAGTCAACAGCGAGTGAACGCCATAGAGTTTTCAATATAGGCCTATAAGGAAACGGGTCAAGTCGTCCCCCAAAATTGAAACCCTGGTCAAGTCATCCCCAGGTCAAGTGTTACAAGTGTAACAAGTGTGCATGCAATTTTCTTTTTAGGTGCATCAATCATACGTAGAAGAGAAAGAAAAACAAGACAGAGACTCGTACATGTACTCACAACTTTCATTTGTTCTACACAGCAAGCTGGCGGCTTTTGAAATCTACGTTGACCAATACATGCCACATAAATTTATTAAAAGGGCGATTCCTGGTGTGCGCCAAAGTAACAGCACTTAGGCCTACTCTTTGAATTGTCAAAGCAATTTAAACATCTTAAAATTTCAAATCTTCCAGTAGTCGTAATAAATCACCCCCAAATAAATTACTGCAGTAAAAACTTGAGTAGTATCTAATAAATAAAAAATCCCCCAAAAATAATTGTCCGCAGTAAAATTATAATTATTTACAATGTATGTAGGCAACGGCTTGACTAGGGGACGACTTGACTTTAGGGACGTGTTGACCGAGGAGGATTTGACCTGGGGACAACTTGACCAACATTCGCCTATAACTCCATGCCATTTTGGGGGGTCTAGACAACTCAACTGTTGGCTAACTCAACTTCAGACAACTCGACCATTGAGACAGCTCGACCGTCCGTGCGTAAAAAGGGGACAAGTCCTCTGTTGAGACAATTTGTCCGTTTAGCCCCCTCGTCTGCTGAGACGACTGTGTGAAATACTATTGTGTATCCTATGTTTAGTATTGATAAAATTCTCCATAATGAAAGATATTGTTTACACTTTCTCTGCGACTTAACTAGCCTACGGATCTTTTTCCAACTCTTTTTTGGCATGTCTGAAAGTGGAACCAATGAGGATCAAGACTCCATGTGGTTCAAATGTATTGTGATGAAAATAAAACTTGTCCACCCCCAAAAAGTCACAGACTAATTACACTCAATTTTAATTTTAAAAAAAATTTATAACTTCACTATAATAACAGCTATTGCGGTTAATTTTATACCATGAAATTCCTTTTGAAATTTTCTTACAATGAATGGTAGGCCTACTAAATTTGTGGGGGTCAAACAAAAAAACCTGAAAAGTGCTGGACTCCCTAACACGGCATGCCTGGGCACATATGACATGGAACTCTTTTGTCAGTTCTTGTCTTTCCCAAAATTAGGGGGCCTAACACTGGTTTAAATAAATGTGGTAAAAGGACTTTTTGTTAACACAAGAAATTATTCTTAATTTATGAAAACCGAAGCCGTATATCGTCATAGGGCTAGGCCTATGTGTGCGATCCGGAACTGCCACAGGACAATGCGTAGGCCTAATCATGGATCATTATAACGATTTCGACCGGCATGACCGGCAACAGAGAAACTTCGAAAAACGGAGTACATTTAATGATTCTAAATACATACCCTCCGCCTCCTCCTCTTCTATCAGACCGCCCTGAAGAATCAAATGGACGCTCTCTTTCATATCTGGACATTTTTGCACATAAATTTGTTAATTTGATTGAATCGAAACAAGTCACACAAAGTCGACTCAGCCGGTGTTGAACGGAAAATGTGGGATTACTTCTTTTCGCGGTGGCTAAATATCATGTACCGCGCATGCATGCATGGAGCGAGTGCAAGGCGCCGGCTATCAAGAACATGACATGACAAAACAAGCACGTGTGAGGCAAGTGCACAATTCGGTAATACGTCATAGGAATCCCGGTGTAGCAAGAACTTCAAACCGTACGTAATAAATACTACTTCCCGTAGTGACGTACGTGTTCGAGTGCTGTGAAATGACGCATGCGTAGTACTACAATATGTCCTTTTATTTTACGGTCACCTTTTTACTCTTGCGCCCAATTATTGGAAATACGGGTGCCACATCACAATTGACTGGTATTCATGCGCTAGTGACGCAACTGGAAAGTGACGGAGCTAACCACAGAAAATAATTGCTTAGCGAAAACAGATATTAACCCGTAGAACATGCCGCGTGTGTCCTTTCTCGATCCATGATGCCATATGCACGGAGGAAGGCTTTTTGATTTTTACTTAAACAAAAAAGGATTTGAAAAGTGAAAGTAAACGTAGGAAACGAAAAAACAAAGGAGAGCCAGTTGCATTTTATCACGAATATGCTCGTGTATACCCATTAGACTCCCCACTGCCAGTGCAGATAGTTTTTACCTTTGAGGTTGATGAATACTTTTATTTTCCCCTTGTTGTCAAGCAACTTGTACGCACAAATTACCACTAGCTTTACTCATGAACATGAGGTTGGGTTCAAACATCGTTTAAAGTAGAAATTCAGATGACGTCTTAATTTATGATGTTTTAATTCTCAATTTCTCTAATCAAAAAAATTCATTTTGACCATGTGATTCTACCTCCATGTTTACGCGTTTGAGTAGCAAATGCGTTACTGTTCCGTGCTCAGAACCAAAATACAATTTCACAAGAAATGGTAGAAAAAAGAAATTTGTAAATACTTTGGATAAGAAATGGGGCAACAATTCAGAATTCTTTTCACTGATGTAGACGTCACTTTTCATGGTCTTTTTGTGAGATCCGGGCTACATTTGGGGGATTTTCACGCTTTTGGAAAGGAGGGAAATGAAATAGAGCCCCGCCCAAAAAAATCGTCCTTTTCTCATTAATTTTGAACAAAAAAAATCTTTTTCTTAATTCACAATCTAGGACTCTGCATGAAAGTCGGCAATACGCTGGGAAAAAGCGATCGAGAAACTCAGCACCTCCCTCCCCCTCGACTGTTGATTGCTTTCGATCCTGATCTCTTCCTGGCTGAACACCAGGACCTGGGCGCCAGCAGTGGAGACACTCAATACTGATGCGGCTGGGCTCAATGGCGTCAATCCCGAGGGATGGACTTTTTGACCATGGGCTACTGAATCATACTCCAGAAAAAAAAGTAAGCAGCTTTATACAAAGATTTTTTTTCAACAACCAAAATTTATTCTCTACTCAAATGGAAGAACAAAGGCACAACACCGCTCTAGTGAAAGGTTCTGCAGGACTGCCTCACCCATAAATAAATTTAACATCGCCCCAGGATGAACAGCTACCCAGACACAGCTTAAGGGCAGTTGGTTCAGTGCAAATGTACCACTGATCCGCAATTAAGTAACTGATACCAATTACAATAGAGTTTCATAATTAATTCCAATCGATTACCACAAACCTTACAGTGAATCTAAAAAAACCTTAGAGAGACAAGTGAAAGACAATGTGAATGGTTTATTCAACACCAATATTTCAGTGACTGTTATAGCAAGAGCGAGTGAACAATAAATCAAAGAAGGCCAAACTCCAACAAAACCTTGGGTTAAAAAATTATTTTTGAAGGAGTTGTCAAAGGAAATCAATTCACTCTCCTCGGCCAAAATAACGGAGTTGGGCCTTTCTTTGAATTATGTATTTAATAAATTATGTGCAAAGGATCCTCGCTCATATTGATCCTCACATGGTCAATTGCACCACAAACTTGAGACAAAATCTAGGAAGTCTTGCAAAGGTAAGCATACGTGTGTAACAGGGAAAAATGACACACTATGAGGAATTAGCAAAACAACAAAAACTCTAACTAAACCAAGGATCTTTGAAGGAAAAGTCGCAGGAAACTGAATTAATAAGGACTCAGACCCCAATATTTGACTTCAAAAAAAGGGACCCAAAAAAATAATTCATTAATGAAAAAGTACAGGAAAAGTGAAAAAAAAACAAAAAGGACTCAAGGACTAAAAACCACCCAAAGAC